TTCAACTGTCTAATGTTATGATTATGTCACGTGTCAAACTACCAGAGGACTGCGAGCGCCAATCACCTCCGGACACGTGTCGAGCGCCGCCTGGAAAACGTGGCTCCAGCCTCCTTGCAACACGCGTCCCCGGCAACGCAACCCGACCCGCGCCTGTCGGCCTACCCGATACCCGCGCGGCGAGCCAAACCGAACCGACGACCCGCGGTCCACCCGAGCCACTGCGTCCGAACCGAACCCGCAACCCGCGACTGCAGAAAACTCTGGGCGCGTGACACTCGCGCATGGAACCTGCGAGTGGTTACTCCCCGACGCGTGGTGACACAATCGCACTTTTAAAGGCAGCGGACTAGCGATTGTGCGGCACTCACTTTCCAACGACAAGTGAGTTAAGCCAATTTGTACTTGCGTCGCCTACGGCCAAGCGACGTACGATCAAGCCTCTAGCCTCGGTTTTAAAAGAAGGTTTTGGAAAATGTGGGTAGAGAGAGATTTTAGAAAGAGAGATTTTTGAAAGAGACGTTATATAAGCAAGCAAGAGAGAGATAACAACGGCTTAGCATATATAACCTTGGGTAGGGAGAAGTTGACGAACTAGTCATATCCCCCTATAGTACATTCTGAGGCATTTCAGGCAGGCCTAGACATGATATTTTTGAGGCGTCATACGCCCTAGAACTACAAAAGTAAAAACACTAGAATGAAAAGACATGACAAGGGTTTGGCTTGCCATAGGCATGCTGCCATGGGCAACACGCCCTGGACGAGCATGACCGTGACACGTGGCTGGCGCGTGGAAGCGCGTGACCTAATTGAGGAAAAATCACCGCCTTTCGATACGCCAAGTGTGTGGAAACGCTGCGTAAGGGCACGCATCGTCCAGATAAGTCACCACACGAAATTCTAGGAAGTAATACTTGTAGGAGTCGCTTAGAATGCATGCATGCTAGTTTAATTATCTTAGGGCGTAGTTTCCCGCGACAGTATGTAGGTAATTGATTATTAAAGTAGGATGCATTATGTGAATGACTATGAGAATTACCTAAGTATTGTTGTTAAGTTTTAAGTTTATGCTATTTATGTATATGGATATTCTATGCTGAAAGAAGAATGGGAATTTGTGAAATCTACGCTCCGGGAGTTGATGGACGTTATCGCCCTGTTGAGCTTGTATGTTTACTTTGCATGAATATTGTTTGATGACGTTGGATGATAGTTATGTACGTACTCAACTAATTTTCATGACCACTTTTATGATTAAGTCCAAATATTCATGGTTAGAGCCTCAAGTCACCAAGAAATAGACTTAACCTTTCCCTATTAGTTTAACAGACATGAAATATCTTTAGAGTACCCTTAGGCTACTTGTGTGTGGATGGTGATATAGCTTCGTGGGGGACCAGCGGGTTCTTGATCAGGACTCGACTGCTCGATAGTCGTTTAGTATGGGAAACGGGATACCCATGTCGTAATTGACCGTTTAGCTGGATGGAATAGGGGAGGTAGCCCTCCCAAATACAGGGGGATTATCATGGGACTAGGGGGTTGCAGCTCACTTCCTAGGCGAGACCCCAGGTAATCTCATACCCATACCGAGGTAGCCATTCGCAAGGCACCAGTCCAACACAGGTTAGTATAAAAAGGAACTCTAGGGGTATAAATAAAAGGTCTATGAACCAAAGAAGTCCGAAGGGACAAGTTACAAGGGGGAAAGCCCTAATGAGCTAAGACCAGAATGAGTTGTTCTAGAACCAAGGGAAAGTCCGTGATCGTTTGCTAAGTTTAGGATGCGACAAGAGCCTACAAGTAGGTGATTTATTGAGTATAAATTTTATGTTTAGGGTGCGACAAGAGCCTATAAGTAGATGGCTTACATAAATTTTATACTCATTCCTGTTATACTTTATTTTTTCAGGTACGTGAGGCGTCGAGTCTAGAGAGGGCGCGTTGATCGATGTGGATTGTCACAGAGGAAGCGTGTCCCGGGGCATCAGTCTAGTTTGCTGAATAGTACACTTTGTCTCTTATGTTTCTTTTCTTGTTTTTTTTTTCCTACGCACATGTGTCCTTTTAGTAAAGAAACATTTTTCTTACGAAATGATTGAAATTCTTTTGAAATAAATGTTTTCCTTGAATTTCTCGTTTATACATTACATGTCATATTTGATGTTAGTCACGATTTGAAGATTATGTATTTCGGGTCAGGACAAAAAATCACATCATGAAACGGTGGGTTTACAAAGCCGTGACCAAGGAGAAATGAGAGAGAGGTAAGAGAAAATGGGAAGGGAGAAGGAGAGAGGGAGAGCATTAATTTTATTTTTAAATGCGAATGACGTGTCAACATTACAAATAAAGACAAATTACTAGCTTACCATGATAAATAAAAAAGAGACCTCAAAAGCGAACTTGGGCCTAAAGCCAACCAGCCCTTGGACATGCTTAAAGGTAAGCGAGGCTTGGACTTGGTCGGATCATGAGCCAAGTTTGGGCCAGGGCATAGTCAAACCTAGGGCTAGCCGTCAGACCTTGGAACAACCACCCAGGCCTAGGTGGTTCCCGGCTCATCGGTGCCGGAGGGGAAAATGAAGGCGAAGGAGTTGTCTTTTAGGTCGCTGTATTGGCGCCGGACGGGTAAGCTGAAGATGTTCCAGAAGCAGAGATACTTGGACCGCCAAAGGATTACTTCCGCCCTTCTTGCTACCTCTGCCTATGCTTTACCAGGCCCCCTTCGAATTCCAAGGGTTCCACTTTCTTCACTCCCTTTCACCTCTTCTCCCATACATGTACACTATACCTCTTGCGCTTCTCTTCCCAATCCTCTCGCACTCCTCAATTTCATGTCAATTCGCTGCATTTGTTTTCTGCCTCCGTCTCCTCCCTCTTCCATTCCCTGGAATTCTAATGAACTTGAGCACGCAAATTCTACTTCTAAGTTCACCGTAGAAGCAGGTAACGGTAGGTTAGTTCCTCTTTTCTCCTCTTCTGCCTCCACCCGGATGTGACTTTTCTTCTTCCATCTCCGTAATTAGTGGCGCATATGCTTCTCTTGCCGTTGAATTTGAATGCCCTTTTTTTTCCCTCATAAACTCTATTTCAGGTTATCAAACCCTTTATCGTGTTCTTGAAGCCTGCAGACTCTCCCCCTCGAATTCCAAAACCGCTTCTGAAACGCATGCAAGAATGATTAAATTTGGATATGGAAACTACCCAACTCTCGTCACCTCTCTAGTATCAGCTTATCAACGTGCTGATTGCCTTAATCGGGTCCATCAACTTCTTAATCTACTCTGCTCTAAACATCTTGATTTAGTTGCAATGAACTTATTTATTGACAATTTTATGAAAATAGGGGAATGCAAACTTGCTAAAAGGGTGTTCGATAAAATGCCTTACCGTGATGTGGTAACGTGGAACTCAATCATCGGAGGTTGTGTGAAGAATGCACGGTATGAGGAGGCATTTAAATTCTTTAGGCAGATGCTGGTCTCAAATATCCAGCCGGATGGGTTTACATTTGCTTCCGTGTTGAATGCATGTGCGCAGCTCGGAGCTCCAAGTAACACTCAGTGGGTTCATGCTCTGATGACTCAGAAAAAAATTGACCTTAATTCTATATTGAGTTGTGCACTCATAGACGCCTACTCAAAGTGTGGCAGCATCCAAATTGCAAAGGAAATCTTTAGCAGCGTCCCTCGCAGTAACATCTCAGTTTGGAATGCGATGATCAAAGGGCTTGCGATTCATGGGCTTTCAATGGATGCACTATCGGTATTCTGGATGATGGAGCGTGAGAATGTTCTGCCTGATGCTGTCACCTTTTTGGGTATCTTAACAGCCTGCAACCATGGTGGCTTAATTGAACAGGGTCGCAGGTTTTTTGATTGGATGAAAAACCGTTATTCAATTCAGCCACAGCTCGAACATTATGGAGTCATGGTTGATCTGTATAGCCGAGCTGGGTTTCTCGAGGAGGCCTACTCCATAATCGTAGCAATGCCCATAGAGGCAGATGTTGTGACATGGAGGGCGCTTCTGAGTGGTTGTAGAATTTACAGAAATCAAGAACTCGCAGAAGTTGCTATTGCAAACATGTCTCATCGTGGGAGTGGAGATTACGTGTTGCTATCAAATATCTATTGTTCTCTCAACAGATGGGAGCATGCAGAGAGAGTTAGAGAGAGGATGAAAAGCAATGGAGTTCGCAAGAGTTGCGGAAAAAGCTGGATTGAGTTGGGAGGTTCCATTCAAAGCTTCAGGTCAGGTGACCGATCGCATCCAGAAAGCGATGCAGTGTACAAGGTGGTGTGGCGTTTGATGAAGAGAAGTCGGTCAGAGGGATATATGCCTGTGACAGACTTGGTTCTCATGGATATCTCTGAGGAGGAGAAGGAAGAGAACTTGTCATATCACAGCGAAAAGTTGGCATTGGCGTATGCGATCCTGAAAACTAGTCCAGGGGCAAAAATCAGTATATCAAAGAACCTACGGATGTGTGATGATTGTCATAGATGGATAAAAATAGTTTCAACACTGCTGTGCAGAGTTGTAGTAGTGAGAGATCGGATCCGGTTTCATCAATTCGAAGGTGGCATGTGTTCCTGTGGTGATCGTTGGTAGTTTGGTTTGGTTTGTTTTAGTCTTTTTTTAACTACATTTGGTAGGGTCGCATTGAAAGACAAGTTATATATTTTAGTTTGGTTCCGACTTTTGGACAACGAAACCATGTTTGGTTGAATGAGGGGTCAATTACAATTCCTCCTTATGCTCCTCCTCAGGAAATGCAGGCCCACCTCATGATTGGAGGCATCCCTGTTATTTGTATCGATGAGAAAGATTGTTTGCATGTTTGTATTGTATTGTATTGTATTGTATTGTATAGTATTGTTTTGAAGATAGATTATAAGTAGGAAGGAAGATTGTTTTTCAAATTTTATTCATCTACGTTAAAAAAAATCAAACAATTCATCTATTTTGATCGCATTTCCTTCAACCCTGTTTCTACCTTGAGACTATCTGCTCTCTCAGAAGCTTATCTCCCGTCGCTCTGCAAAAAACTTACCTGTGACTGCCTGATCTGGAAGTAAGGCAAGCCAGACGCCAGTGTCAGCCCCTTCCTCTGCTGAAATATTGCCAGCGAACCCTGTCATAGCAGTTTTCACCCAACCAGGGCAGTAACAGTTCACATAAATCTTATGACCCTCGGGTCGGTCCCCCAATATTTTAGCCATTAACCTGGTGTATGCATTCACTGCGAGTTTTGATACAGAGTAGTCGGTTGATAACTGAGGCCACCCCCCAGTTTCCCAACTTCCATCTTCTACTTGTTCCAAAAATGTAGACACAATCCTATCAATTACTTCTTCTGTCAGAGTATCCAAATTGCCGAGTAGTTCTCTAAATGCTACATTTTCCACTCTCTGTAATGAAATACAGGAAAACATACTAAGCTAACCTTCTTCTTCCTCCTATTATTCACACAAAAACAGGAAGAAGTTGCACTTACATTCCGCCTGCCGTTCAGCTTGGCCAACCTTGAGCTCACATTCACGATGCGAGCACCAGCAGACGAAGGTTTCATCAAGGGGACCATTGCTTGAGTCATATTTTTGGTGCCATAATAGTTAGTTGCAATAACCATCTGGGCATACTCTACAGAATTACTAGACCCAAGATTGAAATTCACTCCAGCATTATTAATCTGCAAACATATTTGGACGTAGATGGTGCATTTGGAAGTTATGTCATCTAAATTCATATATATTTTTTTTGTGTGTGTGAAGTCAATATTTAGCTGGTATTCTGCATGTTGCTAAATCTAAGCGCTCCTCTTTGTGGGCAATTAAGAAACAAAAACGAATGTAGAGAAAAGTAGAGTGTAAGATTAACTTGCCAGAATATCCAAACCACCATAGTTTTGTAGTAGCCAATCAGCGAACTGTTTGATGGATAAAGCATCCAAGACATCCAGCTGATGGAAGGCAACATTGAGGCCACCTTCCTGTAAGACCTTAGCTGCTTCAAGGCCAACACAAACATCTCTTGAAGTCAAGATGACGGTCATTCCATGCATTGCAAATTGTCTTGAAACCTCAAATCCAATTCCTCTATTGCCACCAGTAACCACGGCAATGGTTTCTGTAGACCACCACCTACAAAGTAAATGTGGGTGTTGGTTATTGAGCAGAAGACAGAATGGTGAGAAGGAAAAGAAAGAGACCTCTGGTGATCGGAATAAGGAATGGTCCTGGTGAGGGATATCTCTTGCATTCTCTTTTCCCTTAGCTCATTGCCTCTTTCCTTCCTGCCCATCTCGGTTCGGCTGTTTCTGAGTCAGAAATCGCCCAATAAAAACAAAACAAAACAAAACAAAACAAAACAAAACAAAACAAAACAAAACAAAACAAAACAAAACGAAGAATCCAGGGTTAGTTGGTTTATACTTAGAGGCGGGAGAAGGAGGAGACTTAATTTGGAGGATCACCCTTCTATATCTCCCTATTCGCTCTTCACTACAACAAACCCGGATCCATTATCATCTAAACACAGTAAACACACACCATCACCACAATTTGCCTCAACCAGCCCCATCATTCTCGCTACCCGCTCAACCTCCCTTTTCATTCTTCCTTACATTATAATTTAACCATTTTTCTTTTTAAAATATACCACTCTGACAAAAACAATCTGGCCAACTTTATATTAGCTGCAAATTCATGCCCAACCAAACAACTATCTTTCCTGTAAAACATCTCATAAATTTTTTTAATGATTAGATTTATCATTCTTTCCCAACATGATAAATACAATACCAAGGTTTGAGGTTTGATGAATCCTTGATCCCCCTTAAATATATATTTTTTTAGGTCATTTAGGTCGGCTAACAATTACAAAATACAATAGTAAATCAATATAGAGTTATGCATGTTATGGGCATGCGACCATGGGCAAAACGTCTTGCACAAACATGACTATGACATCCTTCCCATCTAAATGGTTATTGTCTATGTTCAAAATCTTTGATGTGGGTTGTGGGTAAGTTCAGATCTTTCCCAGCTAATTTCTTTTGTATGGAGTTTTTTCCATTGGACTAGAAATTCTCGAACGCGTCTTCCAACTTTTCTAACCCCTCGGCTAGGATTACTTCGACTTATTTGTTGTCCTTTTGTATAAGGTCGATTCTCAGTGTTGTGGCGACGTTGCAGCTGACATCATCTAGATCGGAGTGATAAGGTTTTAGGTTGCTCACAGAGTGAATTTTCATCCATGTGGGCAATGTTATCTGGTAGGATGTAGTCTCGACTTTCTTTAGGATTTCAACGGGTCCTTCGTACTTTCTGACGAGTTTTTGATCTTTTCTGTCCCGTAACCTTTCAAATTAAAAAATATTTGTTTTGTATCTTTATTTCTTTATTATGCTTGATCTTGTTTCTTTTAATTTTGCTGATATAAGCGGATAAAAAAAAAGAAGGTTGTAACCATAAAAAATGAGGAAAGTGGAACGTGTCAAAAATTATGGTTTTCATATTTCCAGTCTTGCTACCTCAAATGCATTTTAGTTTTTAAGTTGTCGTTTTGATTGGATGAACCCCATTTAAAAGGGAGAAGATAATGTGATCACAACCTTGTTGAAGCCCAAAAATATTGAAGGAAAATACCCAAACCATTGCCCAAATGTTGTAGGCAACAAAGCCAGCCCAAACGGCATTGTCGAAGGGGTCAACTAAAGGCTCACAAGTATAATAGTCTTTACCCTTATGAGCTACAAATACGTAACATTTTGGACAATAATATATGTTGTAACTAATAAACGTGTTTTGTCTCGTTGTTCACATACTTTTTAAGAAAATTCTTTGATAACATTTTTAGGTGATATATACCCTCATCCATTAAATTAAATTATTTGTTTGATTTTGCATTAAATCTGGTTTCATTGAAATGAGTGAGAAGTTTTTTTGGGGGGTTAAAATGGTGTAAACACAAACCAATTGAATAGAGAGACTAAATTTAGGATCCAAAGAATAACTCAATTAAGTGATATATGTTAATCAAGATTCGCATTCCACCTCTCGAATGTTGACGAGCTCAAAAGAAAAAGGAGGAGAATAAACACCAATTTTCTTTAACTTATATCTCGTCACATCGGGCCTCATCGATCACCCACAATTCTCTGTGCACAAGTTAGGGCATCTGTCCCCAAACTCAGAAGACCCTTATCGTCTTATTTATGCGTACATGAAGTACCAAGATGGAGAGCAGCAAGCGATTCTTGAAGCTGGAGCACATGGTCCCCTCTGTATATATGGATTCCTATTCTCTTGCTTCTTATGTCTGTTGATTCGTCGTCCGTAGCCTTCTTGCCGCCGGAACCGCCCGTTCCTATTGGTCAAAGCGTTCAGTCTAATTACCTATTGTTTAAATTTACGGGAACGCTCTTGGGGTGGGCTCGATATCATCATTTTTTTAGATCCAACGGAGGAGCTAAGAGTCTTCGAAGCCGATCCGCGGAACTGGGTACGCAAAACATTTCAATATTCATCTTTTTTCCATTCTCGAGATCTTCCGCTTCTGCTGCTAACAATTAATTCCACGACTCTTTCTTGTAAATCATCTTTCGTTCTCTCTCTCTCTGCTATTTTCTTTCTCAACAATTACATTTGCAATTCCTGTGATTGTTGAGTAGATCTGATATCAAAATGTCAAGTCACATTTCTGAGTATTTGAGAGTTATTTATTCTTTTATGTAGTAATTGAGTCGACTGCATCCCTCATCTATAAGAAGATACATTTACCATGTAAAGAATTGAACTGTATGTATTTTCTGTAGGAGGTCGCATTCGGATTTTCAGCGATTACACTGTGCCACCTTTTGGTCTAGGACTTGGCTCTCTTATCCCCGGCGACTAGAATATTCCGGCACTTGATGACGCAGGGAAGGGAGGGGGTGGATATTAGTGTACAGTGAGTCCCATCCTAACATTTCAGAACTACATTCGAAGACTGACCTAGGCAGCTGCTAAACCTTGGACATTGGAGTAAGATTCTTGCTCAGACACCCAAACTACTACTATTTGTTTTCAAAGTCTTATTTCATTTTGAACGGTTCTTTACCTTTATTTATTTTTTTACGTGGTAATTAAAATCCTCGGGGACAATTTTTGTTTATTACATATTAGAATTTTTTTTGTCTCTCTCGTCTGTTCAGGCAATCGTCATATTTTGAGTAATTACCAATGAAGTTGGAAATGTATTTTTTATTTTAGTTGTTTATGGTGATACTGAAATATAATCTACAATGCCAGGAGGATACTTAACGTTTTAGTCATTTCTTGGTGGCCCTTTGTAGTTTTGTTGTCCTAATGAAATATTTAAGCTTGAGATTGTATGAGGCTGTAGAATTTTCGGTAATTGATGGAAACACTCCATCTGCTTGAACACTTGCCTTTTTGTTCTACACTCATCTATTTCACAGTACACCTTTTAATGTGTTTAAGTATCCAATGAAAAACATAATTGTAATTAAGGGAACTGTAGTAAGTTTTGAACGATGATTTTTTAACCCATCATCTATTACAGACCAGAGATCACCTTGGTATTTCAAAACATGGACGCCAAAGAGGCTGCTTTTTCTGGAAACCCACGGCGTCCTACTGACTGTTGCAATCCTGTCAAACAGCTTGGACCTATCTCCCTAGAACATGTGCTCCTTGCACTGCGTGAGTCCAAGGAGGAAAGGGATCTTCGGACCCGTAGTCTTTTTAATTTTTTTGATGCTGCCAACCTTGGATATCTTGACTATGCTCAGATAGAAGCTGGATTGTTGGCTCTACAAATACCCGCCGAATACAAATATGCTAAGGATCTCCTGAAGGTCTGTGATGCCAATAGAGATGGCAGGGTAGACTACCATGAATTTCGCCGCTACATGGATGTTAAGGAACTAGAGCTCTACCGAATTTTTCAAGCAATTGATGTTGAGCACAATGGATGTATTCTTCCGGAAGAGCTGTGGGATGCTCTTGTTCAGGCTGGTATACTATACCTTTCTCTGCCTCATTTTCTATTTCACCCTGTTCTTTCTTTTTAATCACATTTGATGTATATTACTCATTACTACCGTTTAATAGCTCTCTAAAATTCTTTCATACGAATTAAAATTAGTATTTATTCTTTTGAACTTTCTATGAACATTTGCATTTTTTTTAAAAATTCCATGAAAATTGGTAACACACGGGAAAACATGTTAAAAGTGTTAGTTCTTTATCTAGACAGAAAATGCAATTCAGAAAATTATTCATAAATTTATATTATTGATAAAAGATAGGTTGTTTCTTGGTTGATTATATATATTTATATGTTAGATATATAGATGTATATAATTGATATTGATTGAAGACTAAGAAATTTTAATATATAATAGTAATGTGATTAAAATACTTTAATAAGCTAATACTTAAGATAATTAATTAATTTTTTCTAAGAGTGCTCTAAATGGCTATATGATACTTTGTATATCTTTTTTTTTTTTTTTTAAAAAAAAAAGAAGACCATATTAAACTATTTACTGAACACTTAAAATTACATACCAAATTTTCCTCTTAAGAATGTTAATTTAACTATGATGGTCTATTATTTATATTAATGAAAAGTATAAAAAGTGTAACTAAGGGTTGTGTTTGATGTTTATTATTAGAGAAAGAACAAATTGGACAAAAAATGATTGTCAGCATCCTCATTTCAAGTTTCTAAAATTGTTTAATCACATTTCACAATTTTATGTATTTTGAAATAAAAATAAATTAGAATCTGTTGTCTTGATATTTATATGTTATATCATTGAGAGCATATTAAATTTTAAATGCAAATCCTTTTAATATATGTTCATATAAATACGCATAATGTCAAAATAATGGGAATGGATAATAATATGAATCAAAATAGTGGATATATCTCGGATGTTTCTCCAACAACCTGGATAGGTATTAAATTTATCCTTGAGATAGATTATTTGATAGTAATGCATTGATTTTTCCTTGAAGGACAAAGGACAGACCCCCTCTAAATGGCTAATGTAGATAAATGCGGGCAATTAGAAGGAGCTCAAGTTTTGTATGTATGCACAAAGGATAAATAAAAATATATGGTTATCACTTTAAGCCTTTTCATTTTGTTTAATATTAGTCTTCACATTTGGCAATGTGTGGCTAGCTATTTGCTTCTTATGTTGTATGACACTCCTAGGAATTTGTCGATGTGTCGTCATAGTAAAATTTCAACTTGAATTCCTTATAGTTTCTTAGATTTTGATACTGACTGCTGCTTAATGTCTAACCACACCTATTTTTGGAAATTTAGTTTGGTCAATGAGGCGCAATGCATCAACCGTTTTAGTTTAAATGATGGGTAATATGGTGCATAAATTGAACCGTATCTCCACCAATACCTTGTTTGATTATTTGTCACTTCTATCTCCTAACCTGTTCAGAATTAATTTCATTATTTAATTCTGACACCATTTAAATTGATTTTCCATTGTCTAATTTGACTAACATTTCTTCTCCTCAGTGATCAGTATTGTGTTTGATTCAGTATGTCACACATCTTGTCATCTTATGTCCCTGGTAGTTTTAATTTTTTAGGTATAGAAATTGATGACGAGGAACTTGCACGGTTTGTGGAGCATGTTGATAAGGATAATAATGGAATCATAACCTTTGAAGAGTGGAGGGACTTTCTTCTATTTTATCCACATGAAGCTACCATTGAAAACATATATCATCACTGGGAAAGGGTATGCCTTGTAGATATTGGAGAACAGGCTGTAATTCCAGAAGGCATCAGTAAGTATGTCCATCCTTTCAGGTACTTTATTGCTGGAGGTATAGCAGGAGCTGCTTCTCGTACTGCAACAGCTCCTCTAGATCGACTTAAAGTGGTTTTGCAAGTACAGACAACCCGAGCATGGATTATGCCAGCTATAAAGAAGATATGGAAGGAAGATGGTCTCTTGGGTTTTTTCCGAGGTAATGGGCTAAATGTTGTGAAGGTTGCACCTGAAAGTGCCATCAAATTTTACACTTATGAGATGTTAAAGGGTATGATTGCGAACAGTAGAGATGAAGAAAAGCGTGACATTGGAACTGCCGGGAGACTTTTTTCTGGTGGTATTGCGGGTGCAGTCGCTCAAACTGCTATCTATCCTTTGGATCTCCTGAAAACTCGGCTACAGACTTTTTCTTGTGAAGGTGAAAAGGTTCCGAAGTTAGGAAAACTTACAAAAGACCTCTGGGTTCACGAGGGACCTCGGGTCTTCTACAAAGGTCTTGTACCTTCCCTTCTTGGCATTATCCCTTATGCTGGCATTGATCTTGCTGCCTATGAGACATTGAAAGATGTATCAAAAACATATATTCTACAAGACTCTGGTGCGTGATTTTTTTTTTTTTTTTTTTGCTTACCTGTTACTTAATGTTGGTTATGGTAACCCCCCTTTCCCACCCAAACTTCATCAGATCCTGGACCTCTCGTGCAACTAGCCTGTGGAACAATCTCTGGAGCTCTTGGGGCCACGTGTGTTTACCCATTGCAAGTTATTCGAACGAGGTATGGATGCCTTTTACTTTACCCATTTCTTCGTGTAGTAAAATCAAAGGTAAACAATAGTATCTGTGATTCTGGTTTTGATTGAGATTGAGGTACTTTGGAATTGTTTTCAGAATGCAAGCCCAAAGTTCAAATAGAGGTGCTGCTTATCAGGGAATGACAGATGTATTTTGGCAGACATTGAAGCGCGAAGGCTATGGTGGTTTCTATAAAGGTCTTTTGCCCAATTTACTTAAAGTTGTGCCGGCTGCAAGCATTACGTATTTAGTTTACGAAAGGATGAAAAAATGGCTGGAACTTGATTAGGAGGCAGTCTGTGTGTGTTATGGTTTGGGGGAAAAAAAAGAAAAAAAGAAAAAAAAAAATATACTTGGCAGATGCCAGTTTGCAGGTTGAGAATTGGAGGTACATTATTTGTGGTCGGGAGGTGTGTTACCTCCAGAATTTTTTAAACAATGAGTAATAATGGCAAGTGATTGTTGCTACGATTGGTGTAGCTTGTAAGCTACTAATAGTGTTATATATTGGCAAACGGTTCACTAGCAACTTGAACACCATGTATGTATACATCCGACTCAATGTTATTGACTTACCATCCTTTGCAACTTGTATTTGTTATTTGGGCACGCAGTTGTAGTTTTGGAATGGCTCTCAACTGGGGACTTCTTCGTCCGCCAGGTAATTAAAGATAAAGAGTTGCTGATGAATTGCTAGGAATTTCTGGGCTAAGGCAACCTCATTACCGCTTTTAACATCCTATAGGCCATTCTTAGAATAGTGCCACATCCATCATCTTTACGGCCTTCTGCAACAGATTCTCCAAAAGAGGGTCATTTCTAGTCCTATTTTCTGTAAATAGAGCATGCATATTGAATATTTAGGGGATGATGCTGATGAGTAAGAGGTTTAGAAGTAGTCTCCCTTCGAACCATTTAGGAGCCATTTGATTCAAAGTTTGTTTTATGATTTGGTAAATAGAATGTCAGAAAATTAAATATAATATAAAGTATTTTTTTAACAACTTTATTATATTATTTAATTTTAGATAATTAGCTCTCCTTAACTATCTATATTATTAAAATAATTTTAGAATAATGGTAGCTCATTATAATTTAATTTAATTTTCATTCACCTACTTTAAATTTTAGGGTTTTGAATTTATTTTATAATAATTTTTAATAATTATCCTCAATGATTTTAATGAAATTATTTAAATTTTTAATGCTAAATATTTAGTCCAATTTATATTTCAAAATTTGGTAGAGAAATTATATTAAATGAGATATTACGAATCTTATTCTATAATTTATTAATAAAATAATAATATATTTTAAATATTAATTTTAATTTTTATTATTAATAAATATATATGCATTGTTTAGTCATAATACTAATATTATTCTCAAATAAATAATTATACAAAAAAAAAAAATTAAATAATTAATATAATCATCGAAATGAATAATTAATCATAAATAGTAGCTCAAAATCAATCTGGAGTAAATAATAATATATTATAAAATAGAAACAAAGAAAAAAAAAAGAAAGACGAATAAATAAAAAATAAAAAGAAAAAAAAGAAAGTAAGGGGAAAAAAAAAAAAAAAAAACCCACGAGTTTGGAACGGTTTTGCCCACAAAATAATGTCGGGTAAAACTTTTCAGTTGAAACAAATAAGGGCTCTTGAAACCCATGCCTATTTCTCTCTTTTTCCATTCCAAAAATTTGAAACAAAACTAATTTCCATACCCAACTAATTTTTAAAAAAATTAATGGTAACATTTTGGGAATATGGACGGAAATAATCACTTAAACAAAAATAAATATTTTGAAAACACTTTGATAAAATTGAACAAAAAAAATAAAAAAAAACCAAACCAAATTCAATAGAATTTGAACTTTTTTTTAATATATAAATATTTGAGAAGCATGCTGTATCATTGGTAGTTTTGATAAATTTTCATTGAAACTGAATTGAAAATTACAAGGTTAATTTAAAAACAACCATTCAAGGCATTTGATTTTTGAAAAAGAAAAAAAAGGTGGGAATAGACATGAGTGTTGTTCTTATTTCTCCCACCTTGCTATTTTTATTATCTTTTTTTATCCTAAACTTGCCTCCATATTTTATTTTATTTTATTTTTTTCATTTTATTTACTCCTTTTTTTTTTTTTTATCTTACTATTTTACCATTTATTATTATTTTTAATCATATCATTATTTACTCGGTTGTACATTGTATTTGAGTTTTTAACAATGTCATTATTCGACGTACTAATTAGTTATAATAATTTTATTAAAAATAAAATTCAAAAATGTCAAATGTAATGCCTATTATTTATAATATACTTATTAATTAATGAATATTAAATTAGAATTTAAGGTATATTATTATTTGATTAATAAATTATTATAATGGTATAAAAATTATGAATATATCTCCTTCAATATAATTTACTTCACCACATACAACTTGAAATATAAGGGGTACTAAATATTTGAAAAAAAAATTATATGATTTTATTAAAAGCAATTTATAAAATTAAAATTAAATTTAATTAGTTGAATTATTTTAATAATTTGACCCCAATTTTCTTATTTTACTGGCACTTAAAATCAAGAAGCCAAATAAGCCAACGTCTAAGTTGAGGGATGCTTACGATTTAACAGCACAATTTTTGTTTTATTTATTTATTAAAAAATCGTGGTTTACTTTTTGATCGAAATGAGAATATCCATCCCTCTCGTATTTGGTATAGAAAGTAATTATACCTAAAACAGAGGGCAGCAAGATGGCGGTCTCAAGTTCGATTTCATGGTCCCCTTGCATATAAATTCCTCATCTCTCGCTCATTCTGTCCCCGATCCGCCGCCCATCGCCTTTCCTCAGAAGAAGAAGAAAAAAGAAAAAGATTCAATCTTGGCTCCGGTCAGTTCCCTTTCCGTTCCCTGTTTCCTTCGCTTTAATCTTTCAGTTTTGTTAATTATTCAAAAAATTCAAGGTGACGGTAGCTTGATATCGTTATTTCTGTAGATCCAAGCGGGCAGGGTTCCGATCCGATCTGCATAAGCACATGAAACCGTATAATTATGAACATTTATGTTTTGCATGATCGATATCTTCCGATTCCGTTGCTTAGGTTGATGATTTTATTTCCTATCTTCTAGAACATCCTTCTTCTACTCTTACCAGCATAATCGTCCTGAACTATTATTTTGTTTTAATTACATTCGCAATTCATGTGATCGCCGGGTAGATCTGATCTACGAGGGTCATTTGCGGTGCTGCAATTCAATCCATCGCGTTGTTGTGATCATGCATGTCATTATGCGGATTGACCATTCTTTCATGACCGAGATCTCAATTGNAAAAATCGTGGTTTACTTTTTGATCGAAATGAGAATATCCATCCCTCTCGTATTTGGTATAGAAAGTAATTATACCTAAAACAGGGGGCAGCAAGATGGCGGTCTCAAGTTCGATTTCATGGTCCCCTTGCATATAAATTCCTCATCTCTCGCTCATTCTGTCCCCGATCCGCCGCCCATCGCCTTTCCTCAGAAGAAGAAGAAAAAAGAAAAAGATTCAATCTTGGCTCCGGTCAGTTCCCTTTCCGTTCCCTGTTTCCTTCGCTTTAATCTTTCAGTTTTGTTAATTATTCAAAAAATTCAAGGTGACGGTAGCTTGATATCGTTATTTCTGTAGATCCAAGCGGGCAGGGTTCCGATCCGATCTGCATAAGCACATGAAACCGTATAATTATGAACATTTATGTTTTGCATGATCGATATCTTCCGATTCCGTTGCTTAGGTTGATGATTTTATTTCCTATCTTCTAGAACATCCTTCTTTTACTCTTACCAGCATAATCGTCCTGAACTATTATTTTGTTTTAATTACATTCGCAATTCATGTGATCTACTCTTACCAGCATAATCGTCCTGAACTATTATTTTGTTTTAATTACATTCGCAATTCATGTGATCGCCGGGTAGATCTGATCTACGAGGGTCATTTGCGGTGCTGCAATTCAATCCATCGCGTTGTTGTGATCATGCATGTCATTATGCGGATTGACCATTCTTTCATGACCGAGATCTCAATTGTTTTGCCTAATTAATTGATATGATGTCGATGTTTGAAACCATTCTTTCATGACCGAGATCTCAATTGTTTTGCCTAATTAATTGATATGATGTCGATGTTTGAATTTCAATCATATTGTGTTCATAGCATAATAGCTCCTGAATTTGTCTCTAATTAGTACTTCTTGTGGGTAAATTTATTTTAGCTGTTGAGATGGCATCATCATCAGCTGGGGCGGCCACAGGATGGTNGACCATTCTTTCATGACCGAGATCTCAATTGTTTTGCCTAATTAATTGATATGATGTCGATGTTTGAATTTCAATCATATTGTGTTCATAGCATAATAGCTCCTGAATTTGTCTCTAATTAGTACTTCCTTGTGGGTAAATTTATTTTAGCTGTTGAGATGGCATCATCATCAGCTGGGGCGGCCACAGGATGGTCTTGTGGGTAAATTTATTTTAGCTGTTGAGATGGCATCATCATCAGCTGGGGCGGCCACAGGATGGTATAGAGGCAGGGTTAAAGCCGTTCCGTCAGGGGACTGCTTGGTAATTACGGCCATGACTAGCAGCAAAGCGGGACCCACTCCTGAGAAGACCATTACTTTATCTTCTCTGATCGCTCCAAGATTGGTAAGCGACTCATCTTTATTTCCTTCTTGTACACTTCTATAGTCAATCATTTGTCTTTCGAGTTCTCTTTCACCATTTGGTGCTTTCAAATTCTTCCATGTGTACAGTGACTTGTTTGTGTGCACAAAGGCTTGTTATAGTATATATGTACACATGTAGATAGCAAGGTTGATTGCTTTATGAGTTCTGGATTTGTGGGGTTTATAATTTCAAGGGGTTGGGGAAATAAGTAATAGCTATTGAGACCTTCCTTTTCTTTTTCTTTTACTATTTGGGTAGCTGTAAGTTTAGATAATATTGTACAAATCAATGCTGACGTTGTGCTATTTTGCTTTGGATGCTTGAACATTTTCAGGCTCGACGCGGTGGTGTCGATGAGCCATTTGCATGGGAAAGTAGAGAATACTTGCGAAAGCTATGCATTGGAAAGGTTATTATTCTAGAATGATTTCAGTCTTTTTCCAAAAGTTGCTTGGAATGTATCAGCTTGGACACGATGACACATCATTATTTTAAAATCTAGGACACGGACACATTTATTAAAATATACATTTCTTAGAATATGTAAAAATTTTAGTCAGGAAAGAAATTCAAAGTAAAAAAAATTAGTTTGATGTATTTGACTCTCAAAATTTATTATTTTTGTAATATATGTGCCTATTTAGTATACTTAGCAAGTGTTTCATGCATGTCTAGCCAATGTTGGATCTATCTTTGACTTTGTACAACTAGTGTAACAAGCGTCTGATACATATCCAACAAGTGTCTTAATATCCAAGTGTCCATCGCAAATTGAACACGGAAACGCTAGCCAAACTAAAGTGTCTGCGTTTCTTAGGTCGATAAGATGCTTTGTCTTATAGTGGTGTAACAGTACATATTTCCTGTAGGAGGTTGCCTTTAGAGTGGACTATACTGTGCCATCCATTGGTCGAGAGTTCGGTTCTGTTTTTCTTGGTGACAAGAATATTGCTGCACTTGTTGTTTCTGAAGGCTGGGCTAAGGTTATGTACTTTCTGAGGTTAAAGTTGTCCACTTTTGTTATCTGCATTTTTTCCTTGGTATTATTGAAATTATAAATGCGCAGGTAAGGGAGCAAGGTCAGCAGAAGGGTGAAGTGAGCCCTTACCTTGCAGAGCTACTGCGTCTCGAAGACCAAGCAAAGCAACAAGGTTTTGGGCGTTGGAGCAAGGTTACTACTTAGAAACTGGCAGTCACTACTACTATTTGTTTTCCAAGTCCTAGTCCACATTAAATAATTCTTTGTCACTTTAGAGTTAGTAATTAATATCCTTGATGAGTTTCTGAAGCAAGCAATCGAGTGGGGCTGTTCAATACCAGCTTTAGTTTAATGAGGATAAATATAATTTGAAATGAGTGGTATGAATTGGTTATTTCTTATGGCTTTTAGATATTTTCCTTTCTACTCTGTTTCAATTTTTGCATTTAGTTCATGGGGTTTCATCCGTTATTTTTTTTTCAAAATGTTGGCCATGCTAAATGATAAATGCCGTACATAAGAATAAGGGACTCTAGGAATATGAAATGATAATTTAATAAACCATCGTGTTCTGAATAGATATTTTTAGTCTGTGGTCTTTATGCAGTCTTCAATGTCTGAGCTAACAGATTTTAGCAGGTCTTGCATTTGTATATCTTGCAGAAGATTTTTGTATAATAGTATAAAAAATGTAATTTATGTTACTCTTATTGCTTTCTTTAGGTTCCTGGTTCCGCTGAGGCATCCATTAGAAACTTACCACCGTCAGCCATTGGTGATCCCAATAACTTGGATGCCATGGGTTTGTTAGCTGCTAACAAAGGAAAGCCAATGGAGGGAATTGTTGAGCAGGTTCGAGATGGCAGTACTGTCAGGGTTTACTTGCTTCCAGAGTTTCAGTTTGTTCAGGTGTTCATTGCTGGAATCCAGGTATGTAGTAAATGTTATGAGTAACAGCCTATTGATGAGGAAATTTTCTCGAGTTCAGAGCAAACCTTTTTCAGGATTAAGGTTCCGTGTTATTTTGCTTTTCTAGTCACCATCTATGGGAAGAAGGCCTCCTCCAGACACCGTTGCTGAAACAGACAATTCCTCTAATGACCTGAATGGTGAGGTTTCAGCTGAACCAAGAGCTTCTTTAACTTCTGCACAAAGGCTTGCTGTCTCTACTACATCATCTGGTGAAGTAGCTCCTGAAACGTTTGGAGTCGAAGCCAAACATTTTACAGAGATTCGTGTTCTGAATAGAGATGTAAGTCATCTGATGCTGATTGGTATTTTGTGGTTTCAGTTGGTCTGATTCTGGATGAATTCACAGGTCCGGATTGTCCTGGAAGGAGTAGACAAATTTAGCAATTTGATTGGGTCAGTGTACTACTCTGATGGGGAAACAGCGAAAGATCTGGCACTGGAGCTGGTAGAAAATGTAAGTCATTTGTATTTTTTTCTGTTGGTATATCTTAACAGTACTCATTTGCATGATTGTGACTGGATATTCTCATGGTGATGTTTAGTTTATTTATTTTGTTCCATGCTTAGCTAATTGCTNGTTTTTTTTTTTTTTTTTTTTTTTTTTTTTTTTTTTTTTTTTTTTTTTTTTCATTTTTTCTTATGCTTAGATCCTTATGATCCAGAGTAGTATGATATTTCAGTCTACAGTTCTTGTGTTACTTTATTATGCATTTATATATTTCTTTTCCTAGTTGAGATTTATACTTGGAGTCTTTTGACTTTTTTTTTTTAATCCCAGCTACTGCATTGTTCTCTTAATCATTTTTTTAATCAATTTCTTTTGAATGAGATATGTTATAGTATAAAAATATTCAAAGGNCCCCCCCCCCCCCAATTAAATCCAGGGTTTAGCTAAATATGTTGAGTGGAGTGCAAACATGATGGAAGAAGATGCTAAGCGACGGCTCAAGGCTGCAGAGCTACAGGCGAAGAAAACCCGGCTAAGATTATGGGCTAACTATGTACCTCCACCAACGAATTCAAAGGCAATTCATGATCAGAATTTCATGGGGAAGGTAATTATATGTCAACTAGTCTATAATATTGATAAACTTAATTAAGGCTTTTTTTCCTTATTTTATATCATCTTATCTTGGCATTTGCAGGTGGTAGAAGTTGTAAGCGGTGACTGCATTATTGTGGCTGATGACTCGGTTCCATATGGTAGTCCATTGGCAGAGAGACGTGTCAACCTATCAAGTATTAGGTGTCCAAAAATGGGTAATCCCCGTAGGGATGAGAAGCCTGCTCCTTATGCCCGTGAAGCAAAAGAGTTCTTAAGAACACGCCTCATTGGTCGACAAGTATGGTATTACTTACTAGTCTGTTTCTGATGATTCTGGGGTGAATTGTAATTTGAGATCACAATTCTCTTTTTAGGTTAAAGTCCAGATGGAGTATTCTAGGAAGGTCAGCATGGTGGAGGGACCTGCAACTGCTCCAGATTCTAGAGTGATGGATTTTGGATCTGTCTTTCTGTTGTCTTCTACTAAGGCTGAGGATGAGGACACTTCTGCTCAAGACAGTAGTGGCCAACAAGCTGGGGTGAATGTGGCTGAGCTAGTGGTATCACGTGGTTTTGGCACTGTGATTAGGCATCGTGATTTTGAGGAGAGATCGAACTATTATGATGCACTTCTTGCGGCTGAATCGCGTTCTATTGCTGGAAAGAAAGGGATTCATTCTGCCAAGGATCCTCCTGTCATGCATGTGACAGACCTTCTGACAGTATGAAACTTGACCATCTACTATGCTAAATTTCTTCTATCCTTTTATCAATTTTAACAATGACAACTTTTTACCTTATTGAATGAATTCAAAGTATCATGTGTGTGTTTTCAGGCACCAGCCAAAAAATCCCGTGACTTTTTACCATTCCTACACCGGAGTAGGAGGATTCCAGCTGTTGTTGAATATGTTCTCAGTGGTCACCGTTTCAAATTGTTGATTCCGAAGGAGACGTGTAGCATTGCTTTCGCTTTCTCAGGTGTGAGATGTCCTGGTCGTGATGAACCATATTCAGATGAAGCAATTGCCATAATGCGGCGGAAGATAATGCAGAGAGATGTGGAGGTATTTTTCCTTTCCAATATTTTTGTAGATTCTTTCAATGCCATTGATCTAAAAGGGTTCATTTGCATAGATTGAAGTGGAAACTGTTGATAGAACGGGAACCTTTTTGGGGTCCCTATGGGAAGCGAGGACCAATATGGCAGTGGTTCTAGTTGAGGCTGGCTTGGCAAAGATTCAAACTTCCTTTAGCAGTGATAGAATGCCTGATGCTCACCTTCTTGAACAAGCAGAACGATCTGCTAAGCGTCAGAAGCTCAAGGTTAGACGTTGACAAAGGTGAATGAGTCATGTCTATATAATATCATGCTGATTTGAGTTCTTGCAGATCTGGGAGAACTATGTTGAAGGGGAGGAAGTGCCCAATGGTGCAGCTGTTGAAAGCAAGCAGAAAGAAGTGCTTAAGGTATGCACCTTGGATGTGGTGGATGTTTCTGAGAAACCGTTTTCTTTTTGCTGTTGCTTCTCACCTATTCTATTGCTTCGCTCAGGTAATTGTCACTGAGGTGTTGGGTGGTGGCAAATTTTATGTCCAGACAATTGGGGACCAAAAGGTCACTTCTCTGCAGAAACAGCTTGCGGCTTTGAATCTTCAAGAAGTCCCTTTAATTGGTGCTTTTAGTCCTAAGAAAGGTGATATCGTCCTTGCTCAATTTAGTGCAGACAACTCGTGGAACAGGGCAATGGTGAGTGTTTGGAAGAAGCTTTCTTTTACTTTCAATATGAACTTTCTGTACATTCATTTTTTCTGCAAGGTAGTCCTATGGAATGATAGCTATAAACATTGAGTAATATGATTACCAAACAATTCATTTATAGATTAAGATCAAAACATAATGTGTGCTCATTTATCCAAGACACCAAATATCCCACTAGTATCTTAGCTATAAAAAATTTTCGGGTCACTTGGTTTTATAGTTGGGCAGAATTCTGAGTATAAAAGAATCAGCCTGCAAGTGTACTGCATTGGTGATGATTTACAGCTTTGCCTTTTGGGGTTTTTGTACCAATTATTTAAAATGTCATATTCGTGGTTACTTTGATGAAGAAAAACAATGTGTTCTAAATAATTGGACGGCAAGACTTTAGTTGCTGACTCTTGCAGCATACTGTCTTCTCTCTAGTGTCCCAAGAGGTTTAGGAAATGCAAGGGCTTCGCTGACTGATCTCTGGGATGCTACGAAGGTTACTTATAGAAGATCGTTATCCTGTGTTTGCCTAGTTAGGGTCTATATTTATGAGTGGTTTTAGTGTGTTTTTAGCTGAAGGAATTTAATTATAATTACTTTTGTAAATTGTTTAATTGTTCATCATTTCAAACGGTTTCATTTTTTAGAGTTGATATTAATTTAATAAATTTTTTTTTTTTTTTAAGAAAATAACGTTTGTTCTCAAGAGTGATTCTAACAAAAATTATTAGGGAAAAAAAGGTTGGAGATAAGAATACAGGTGAAGTTTTAGAGGGAAGGAAGGGACTATTTGAGTAAGGGAAAAAAAGGAAATAAGGGACAAAAAGTTGATAACGACAGAAAATTAGGGAGAATTTTTTAGGGTTAAAATTGAAAGGGAGGAATGAACTTGGGGTAGAGAGAGACAAAAAAATTGGAGAGGAGAATGAGTAGATATACGAAACACTAGATATCAGTTTTAGCTAGAGAATAAAGTTAGAAAGGGACGAATTTTAAAACAAACTTGATAAAAAAAGCATCTTCCTCCGTGGCCAAACGTCACCATTTTAAAATTGAAGAAGCAATCTTGAAGAGATTTTGGCGATGACAGACATAGTGCCAAATCACTCCCAGACAAGTCAATTACTAATTAGACCATGAACAAGTGTGCTAATTTTCCAGTTAGATTGGACTTCAAATTTGCAGTCTGCAGCAATGTTGGCACCTCAAAATCATCGCTACTGCTACTTCTAGTTCTATTTGTATAAAGTCCGTGAATTGAACCAGTTCTCTATGGCTATATTATATTATCACAGGGGACAATTTCTTTTAGAGTCCTGACTCTGGTCTGCTTTGTTCTTAACTTGTTTGTCATAGATTATCAATACACCTCGAGGGGCTGCTGAATCCCTGAAAGATATGTTCGAAGTGTTCTATATAGATTTTGGAAATCAAGAGGCTGTACCTTATGGTCGACTACGGCCAGTTGATCCTTCTATGTCTTCTGCCCCTGGTCTCGCTCAGCTGTGTAGTCTTGCTCACATCAAGGTTCCTAGTCTGGATGAGGATTTTGGTCAGGAAGCAGCTGAGTATCTGAGTGATTACATGCTTAATGGTGCAACGGAATTTGTGGCCACAATTGAAGAAAAGGATACTTCAGGGGGAAAAGTTAAAGGACAGGGAACTGGGAATATTCTTATTGTGACTCTTGTTGCTGTTGGATCGGAGCATAGTTTAAATGCGTTGATGCTTCAGGTTCGAATAATTTCCCTGTTTCCCAATTTAATTTCCTCTGTTATATTTCTCGTTTCAATAGTCTGTCATAATTCTTGCGATTTCATCTTCATTATCTGGATCAACGACCCTGATTGCAGTCAAAGTAGAAAATACTAGAACGGCGGGGTAATTGGGAGAAGATAATTAGAGATGCAATAGATATATATGTATATATGCTATTCATCAGTTCTTTTGTTTAGAGAAGAATTTTTCACCAAGCATACAGAATATTAGGGATATTAGAAATGAGCTGAAAATATTCTCAGGATTTGTAATCCTAATATGTTTGTTATTTGATTAGAACGAGAATTTATTGAAGATGTGTGGCCCAGATTGCTAATACTTTTTTCTGCCATGGATTTTCAGGAAGGACTTGCTAGACTAGAGAAAAGGAAGAAGTGGGAATCCAAGGAAAGACAAATTGCATTTGGAAGTTTAGAAGGGTACCAAGAGGAAGCACGGACAGATCGACGAGGAATGTGGCAATACGGAGACATTCAGTCTGATGAAGAGGACGCCGGTCCTGTGAGAAAACCCGGTGGCCGGCGTTGAACGAACACTTTTATGGCCCCCTTCGTCTTAAATTAAGAGATAGACAACTCAACTAGTCGAAGCTTAATTAATGCTACAGTGATAATCACGTTTTCAGTACGAGAACCCAAAGTGTTGCTGCGTAAAGACCATGTGAAGTTTTGTCCTTTGCTAATTTTTATTTTTTATTTTGTTTTTATTTTTACATCGGATAATGAGGATTTTAAAAAAATAAAAATAGCAAATCGAGACCTTACAATAAGGCAAGAGACTTATTTATATTTATATTTTGTTTTGTCTATTACGTCCCCCTGTTTCATTTTGTTTATTCTCCCTCTATATATACCACCGCCACTATGGTGATCCCCTGTAGGAGCCGGTACTCTCAAATTGCAATATAGATCATTGAATTTGAGAGCCGTCTCAAGTTCGATTTCACGGGTTCCCCCTTGCATATAAATTCCTCATGTCGCTCATTCTGTCCCATTGCCTTTCCTCGGAAGAAAATTATTTTAGGTGTTGAGATGGCATCATCATCAGCTGGGGCTGGGGCGGCCACAGGATGGTGGTATAGATGCAGGGTGATGGTCGGTCCATGACTTGCAGCAAAGCGGAACCCACTCCTGAGAAGACCATTACTTCATCTTCTCTGATCGCTCCAGGATTGGTAAGCAACTCAGCGTTATTTCCTTCTTGCACTCTTGCATAGTCTCGATCATTTGTCTTTCGAGTTCTCTTTCACCATTTGGTGCTTTCAAAGTCTTCTTCATGTGTGCAGGACGGCTTGTATTTGGGCGTTGGAGCAAAGGTTAGTACTTATAAACTGGCAGTCACTACTACGAAGGCTTGTTATAGTATATTCTTCGTCATTAATTAATATCCTTGATGAGTTTCTGAAGCAAGCGATCGAGTGGGGCTGTTCAAAACCAGCTTTAGTTTAATGAGGAAAAATATAATTTGATGCGAGTGGTATGAATGGTTATTTCTTATGGCTTTTAGATATTTTCCTTTCTACTCTGTTTCAATTTCATGGGGCTTCATCTGTACTGTCGAGGTTTACTTGCTTCCAGAGTTCAGTTTGTTTCAGTTTGTTCAGGTGTTCATTGCTGGAATCCAGCGTGTGTTCTGAATAGAGATGCGATCATGTGATGCTGATTGGTATTTTGTGGTTTCAATTGGTCTGATTCAGGATGGATGGATGGAAGGAGTAGACAAATTTAGCAATTTGGATTAAAATACGAAACATACACACTTTCATTTTCGGAACATTTTACAGTCAAATTTCCCCCCTTTGGACTGGGTCGTTAACTCGTTAAGAAAAATTATTTTTTCGTTTTAGTATCATACTATATCCACTAAAAATTGTACTCGTGTCTTATAAGACCTCACAATCTCAACTCTGTCGAGAAGATCATGGAAGCACTTAAATTATTATGTGGAAAAACTAAGTTTTCATCAATATTTTCGAACGAAACGCTCAAATTTGATGAACTTGATGTTTAGTTAAAATATGAAACTTGAGGAACGTTTATAGTTGATGCATTTGATACATATGTTTAGTAAAACAACCAAAATTAAACTTTTACATTTTTGGGTCATTTTCCACCGGTGTACCATTGCACTTTTTTTCATTTTTGAGAGGTGGGTCATTAAATCGTTCAGAAAAGTTATTTTTTCATTTTAGTACCATACAAAATCCATTAAAGATTGTTCTACGCATAAAATAAGGAAAAATTCTACACATAAAATAAGGAAAAATTCAAAGAGTAAATAAGAGGGAAAAAAAACATGTACTCAGTCTATATGACCTAACAACCTAAACCCTCTCAAGAAGACTCTAATGGAGACACTTAATTACTTAGGTGTAGGAACGTTTAGTAAAAAGAACCAAACACTTTCATTTTCGGGCCATTTTTTTGAGTCATTTTCCAAAGGTGTACCTTTGCATTTTTTTTCCGAGGGTTATTAACTCATTCAGAAAAGTTGTTTTGTTGTTTTATTTATAATAGCAAATCCAATAAAGATGGCTCTAAACATACAATAAGAAAGAAAAAAGCAAAGTTCCTTTCAATATTTTTGAAGAAAGAACAAAGTTTCTTTAAATATTTTTCAAGAAAGAAACATTCAAATTTGATTCATGACACGTGATTAGTAAAAAAACCAAACTTAAACACTTTCATTTTCAAGCCATTTTTTTTTCAAGCCATTTTCGAATCATTTTCTATAAGTGTACCATTGCACTTTTCTTCCTCTGACGAGGGTCATTAACTCATTTCTATTGTTTTCTCATTTTAGTATCATATCAAATTCATTAAAGATTCTTCTAAGTCTAAAATAAGGAAGTACTCAGGTTTTCAATATTTTTCAAGCATGTACTCGGGTCTATAAGACCTCACAACCTTAACCATCTCGAGAAAACCATGATGGAAACACTTGATTACTAATATGAAAAAACTAAGTTTCTTTCAATATTTGTCACAGAACTCTAAGGAACGTTCAAATTTGATACATTTGTCACCTACATTAAGTAAAAAGAACCAAACTTTTGTGTCAAATGAATGTGACAAATGTATGTGTCAAATGAATGTGACAAATGTATGTGTCAAATGCATCAAATTTGAACGTTCCTCATATTGAAAGATTAGGGTTTAGGGTTAGTTTAGGGTTTTAGGGTTTAGGGTTAGTTTAGGGTTTATGGTTTTAGGGTTTGGAGTTTAGTGTTGTCAGGGTTTAGGGTTGAGCGGTTCTTTGGTTTTTATGGTTTAGGGTTTAGTTTTTTTCACATTATGGTTTAGGGTTTAGTTTTTTTCACATAGGTAAACAAGTGTCTCCATTATAGTCTTTTAGAGAGGGTTAAGATTGTGAGGTCTTTGAGTCCATGCTTTTTTTTCTTCCTTATTTTAAGCTCAGAACAACTTTCTGAACGAGTTAATGACCTTCGTGTCTGAAAGAGGAAAAAAAGTGGAATGGTACACCTATGGAAAATGACTCGAAAATGGCCTGAAAATGAAAGTATCACTCGAACTGTAGACTGAATATCATACTACTCACTCTGGATCATAAGGATGTAAGCATAAGAAAAAATGAAAAAAAGCGAAGCTATTAGCTAAAGCATGGAACAAAATAAATAAACTAGACGTCACCATCAGAATATCCAGTCACAATCATGCAAATGTGAAATGTTAAGATACCAAAAGAAAAAAATACAAATGACTTACATTTTCTTCCAGGAACACCGCCGGTGTTTCCCCGTCAGAGTAGTACACAGACCCAATCAAATTGCTAAATTTGTCTACTCCTTCCATCCATCCATCCTGAATCAGACCAATTGAAACCACAAAATACCAATCAGCATCACATGATCGCATCTCTATTCAGAACACACGCTGGATTCCAGCAATGAACACCTGAACAAACTGAAACAAACTGAACTCTGGAAGCAAGTAAACCTCGACAGTACAGATGAAGCCCCATGAAATTGAAACAGAGTAGAAAGGAAAATATCTAAAAGCCATAAGAAATAACCATTCATACCACTCGCATCAAATTATATTTTTCCTCATTAAACTAAAGCTGGTTTTGAACAGCCCCACTCGATCGCTTGCTTCAGAAACTCATCAAGGATATTAATTAATGACGAAGAATATACTATAACAAGCCTTCGTAGTAGTGACTGCCAGTTTATAAGTACTAACCTTTGCTCCAACGCCCAAATACAAGCCGTCCTGCACACATGAAGAAGACTTTGAAAGCACCAAATGGTGAAAGAGAACTCGAAAGACAAATGATCGAGACTATGCAAGAGTGCAAGAAGGAAATAACGCTGAGTTGCTTACCAATCCTGGAGCGATCAGAGAAGATGAAGTAATGGTCTTCTCAGGAGTGGGTTCCGCTTTGCTGCAAGTCATGGACCGACCATCACCCTGCATCTATACCACCATCCTGTGGCCGCCCCAGCCCCAGCTGATGATGATGCCATCTCAACACCTAAAATAATTTTCTTCCGAGGAAAGGCAATGGGACAGAATGAGCGACATGAGGAATTTATATGCAAGGGGGAACCCGTGAAATCGAACTTGAGACGGCTCTCAAATTCAATGATCTATATTGCAATTTGAGAGTACCGGCTCCTACAGGGGATCACCATAGTGGCGGTGGTATATATAGAGGGAGAATAAACAAAATGAAACAGGGGGACGTAATAGACAAAACAAAATATAAATATAAATAAGTCTCTTGCCTTATTGTAAGGTCTCGATTTGCTATTTTTATTTTTTTAAAATCCTCATTATCCGATGTAAAAATAAAAACAAAATAAAAAATAAAAATTAGCAAAGGACAAAACTTCACATGGTCTTTACGCAGCAACACTTTGGGTTCTCGTACTGAAAACGTGATTATCACTGTAGCATTAATTAAGCTTCGACTAGTTGAGTTGTCTATCTCTTAATTTAAGACGAAGGGGGCCATAAAAGTGTTCGTTCAACGCCGGCCACCGGGTTTTCTCACAGGACCGGCGTCCTCTTCATCAGACTGAATGTCTCCGTATTGCCACATTCCTCGTCGATCTGTCCGTGCTTCCTCTTGGTACCCTTCTAAACTTCCAAATGCAATTTGTCTTTCCTTGGATTCCCACTTCTTCCTTTTCTCTAGTCTAGCAAGTCCTTCCTGAAAATCCATGGCAGAAAAAAGTATTAGCAATCTGGGCCACACATCTTCAATAAATTCTCGTTCTAATCAAATAACAAACATATTAGGATTACAAATCCTGAGAATATTTTCAGCTCATTTCTAATATCCCTAATATTCTGTATGCTTGGTGAAAAATTCTTCTCTAAACAAAAGAACTGATGAATAGCATATATACATATATATCTATTGCATCTCTAATTATCTTCTCCCAATTACCCCGCCGTTCTAGTATTTTCTACTTTGACTGCAATCAGGGTCGTTGATCCAGATAATGAAGATGAAATCGCAAGAATTATGACAGACTATTGAAACGAGAAATATAACAGAGGAAATTAAATTGGGAAACAGGGAAATTATTCGAACCTGAAGCATCAACGCATTTAAACTATGCTCCGATCCAACAGCAACAAGAGTCACAATAAGAATATTCCCAGTTCCCTGTCCTTTAACTTTTCCCCCTGAAGTATCCTTTTCTTCAATTGTGGCCACAAATTCCGTTGCACCATTAAGCATGTAATCACTCAGATACTCAGCTGCTTCCTGACCAAAATCCTCATCCAGACTAGGAACCTTGATGTGAGCAAGACTACACAGCTGAGCGAGACCAGGGGCAGAAGACATAGAAGGATCAACTGGCCGTAGTCGACCATAAGGTACAGCCTCTTGATTTCCAAAATCTATATAGAACACTTCGAACATATCTTTCAGGGATTCAGCAGCCCCTCGAGGTGTATTGATAATCTATGACAAACAAGTTAAGAACAAAGCAGACCAGAGTCAGGACTCTAAAAGAAATTGTCCCCTGTGATAATATAATATAGCCATAGAGAACTGGTTCAATTCACGGACTTTATACAAATAGAACTAGAAGTAGCAGTAGCGATGATTTTGAGGTGCCAACATTGCTGCAGACTGCAAATTTGAAGTCCAATCTAACTGGAAAATTAGCACACTTGTTCATGGTCTAATTAGTAATTGACTTGTCTGGGAGTGATTTGGCACTATGTCTGTCATCGCCAAAATCTCTTCAAGATTGCTTCTTCAATTTTAAAATGGTGACGTTTGGCCACGGAGGAAGATGCTTTTTTTATCAAGTTTGTTTTAAAATTCGTCCCTTTCTAACTTTATTCTCTAGCTAAAACTGATATCTAGTGTTTCGTATATCTACTCATTCTCCTCTCCAATTTTTTTGTCTCTCTCTACCCCAAGTTCATTCCTCCCTTTCAATTTTAACCCTAAAAAATTCTCCCTAATTTTCTGTCGTTATCAACTTTTTGTCCCTTATTTCCTTTTTTTCCCTTACTCAAATAGTCCCTTCCTTCCCTCTAAAACTTCACCTGTATTCTTATCTCCAACCTTTTTTTCCCTAATAATTTTTGTTAGAATCACTCTTGAGAACAAACGTTATTTTCTTAAAAAAAAAAAAAAA